TTTTTTCTTTTTGCTTATGTGGTGCTGAGGAATCGAACCCAGGGCCTCAGGCATGCAAAGCAAGCGCTCTACCACTGAGCCAACTTCCCAGCCCAGTTTAAATTATTTGAAGACAATTCAGCTTGTCTATTTCAGTCAGTTTGGACTGTACCCAGAGAAAGGTCTGGACTGGGAATGTCCACATAGGAGTCATGTAAGCTGTAGGTTTACTTGCTGTATTATTTTGATAATGCCAGTAATAATAAAATTAGCCTTGGGTCTTCAAGGAGTTTATAATTGGATGGTTTTGTTTGATATTTTTAGGTAAAGCCTAGTCTTATATAGGCTTTACATTTTATGTATGCTGTGTAGAGTGAAAAATAATTGAATAGTTTTGCTGTTTTAAACAAGTGTTTAGCTTCTCTCAAAACCTTAAATGATAATGAGCTGTGAGTTAAACTTCTTGAAAATAATAAATTTCAATGAAATATATGTATTAATAAGCAGATTTGTATTTTTCAGGTGGTAATAGAATAATTGAAAATAAGAATATCCAGAAATTAAGGTATCTCTTTTTTTACTTCTAGTTAAATTTAAGAATTATAAAAATATATAACTGATATACTAGTTTATTGTGTGTATCTGATTTTTTATAGAAAGCTTGAAATTTTGAGCTTGATGAGTATCCGGGGTGGGATATCTAAAACATAAAAGCTTAAGAGCTTTATCTTTTGGTTTTCAGACTCTGTTCAATGGAGCCTTCTGTATTGCTCATAAAAGTGTCTCTAGGGCAGAGCGGTGGTGTATAGTTGGAATCAAGAGAGTTAAATTGAGGCAAGCCTCAGTTTCTGAAGATTTTCCTGTGCTCCAACAGCTACCCAATGAGAGAATGAAGTTTCCTTCTTTTAAATTCTTTGCTTCCATCTTACCTTCCTTTCAGATGGCTTCATTACTGATGAAGTATGGTCTTAATTCTGTTCCATTATAGTAGCTACTGTGATTAGTCTATACCCACTCTATTTTTTGTCGATGGGCTTATATAAGTGTATCTTTTTTTCCTGTACCAATAGAGACATTAATTATAGGATAATAAGTTAGGATACCCTGCCTACACTGTAAAGATGGCATTGCTATTCATGTTAGTAAAACCATATAATGCAATATTATGTACAGGAGGGCATGTACATTATCTCAGTCTTTTGGGGTATGCATTCTTTATCCCCATCTTATACTGTTACAGAGGGCGAATATAGTTCTCAAGTTCATAGAGCTAAGATTTGAAATGGGGTTGAGAAAACACACACTTAGGGTATTGTGAAGTTAATTCCCATTTAACAACTCAGGCAGAAAGTGCTATCCAACATTAACTGTTCTTACTGTGTTCTGAGACTGTCTGGCCCAGAGATGTGTTTAGACAGTCCTGGGATATTTCAGATTTGTTAAGGAAAATATACTTTCAGGTGGCTCTAGTGAAATACAGACTGATCTTATAAAATCTCCAGTTTCCTGTTTATGTGGAAGTTTGGATGGTCTCATCAGTAAGGGAAATGAGTCATTAATTGATGAAACTGGGACTCTAAATAGAATATACATTTCAGTAGTATATTCCATGCAAATTAGGATTTAGATTCTAAATCACCTTGCTTTAGAGACAGTTATTCATCCTTCATAGTTGCAAGAAATGGAGGGGAGGCCCTAACTAGGAAAGTGTAAATGAATATGTGCTGTACATAGCCTTTGGACCAAGAAGAGATACTAGAACCTAGGAGCTACTTTTAAGCACTTTAGCTCAACTATCTAACAAAAACTAGTCTATAGGCTATTTTCCTCCCAAGCCCTCTTTTTGTGTGGATTCTAAGGAAATATTCCCAATAACTATATAACTAAAATAATTATATAGCTTTTACTTGTCAGAAATTTTAAGATTTCAGCCAGGTGCTGGTGGCTTACTCCTATATTTCTAGCTACTCAGGAGGCAGATATCTGAGGATGGTGGTTTGAAGCCAGCCCTGGGCAAGACAGTATATGAGACTTTTATCTCCAGTTAACCACAAAAGGCCAGAAATGGAGCTACAGCTCATGTGGTAGAGCACTAGTCTTGAGCACAAAAGATCAGAAACAATATAGAGGCCCAGAGTTCACACTTTTCAGTGTGAACATGCTCATCATTTAAAATGAGATAAAATTGTCTATAATAGATATACCAGAAAAAAGTTAAGATCTCATCTTTGTATTTTAGTCAAAGATTAAAAAAAAACAAAACCACTTTGTGGGGATGTGGGAGTGTAGTCCAATCTCAGAGAGCACCAGGCTCTGGATTCTATTCTTATCACTACCAAAATGAAAGTAAATAAATAAGGTAACTCTACTATAAATGGCTTTAAAAAAGCCATTTATGCTGGGCAATGTTGGCTCACACCTATAATCCCAGTTACTCAGGAGGATGAGATCTGAGGATCATGGTTTGAAGCCAACTCACCTAGGAAAGTCTAAGAGGCTCTTATCTCCAACTAACTACCAAAAAGCTAGAAGTGGATCTGTGGCTCAAGTGGTAGAGCACAAGGCTTGAGCAAGAAAAAACCCAAGGACAGCTCCCAGGCCTGAAGTTCAAGCCCCAGGATGGGCTCCAGAAAAAAAAGGCCAGTTCTAAGTTCGTATTATGACCTCTAAATCAACTAAGTAGACAGTTTTAACATTTTTAACATTTTTATGATTTATTGATATAAAAAGTCCTTTGTTTCCAGGAATACTTAATAATTTCATAAGCTTTATGCCTGAAAATAGTAATAATATTTCAATTCTTATGTTTCACAAAAGTGGAAGAACATTGAATGATTTAACCAAATGAGGATATGCCGACTTAAAATAGTGAAAATTTGGATTGCTTTTTTCCCCCCTGTATTGGGGTTTGAACTCACAGACTTGTACTGGTTAGACAGGCTATATATCCCTAGATCTATGCCCCTAACCTTTTTTGCTTTAGTTACTTTTTAAATAGGGTTTCACTTTTAGAGCTAGCCTGGACCAAAGTTCTTTTTGATTTACTGTTCTGGCATAATTAACTAGGATGATAGTCACATGCCACCATGCCCAGCTTTTAAAAATTGAAATAAGATCTTTTTTCCCCAAAGCTAGCCTTAAAGATCGTCCTGATTTCTACCTCCAATATAGCTAGGATTACAGGTGTAAACCAGTGCACTCAGCTGAATTACAAATATTCTTTAACTCCACCCTGCCTCCCCGGTCATGGGGTTTGAACTCTGGGCCTGGGCACTGTCCCTAAGCTCTTCAGCTCAAGGCTAATGCTCTACCACTTGAGCCACAGTGCCACTTCCAGGACTGTGCTTTCCAAAAGACACCTGTTATATAGTACTAAATTAATGAGGATATAGCATTAATAATTTTACATAAAATTAAACAAGTGTGGTTTACACAGCAGAATATCCTAAGTCAAAACTTCTTCCTCAAAAAAAAAAACTTCTTCCTCTTTCCTTTCTTGTTCATCTTCTAGTTTGTCCTGCTTCTAGTTTGAATTCTGCTTCCTGTTGGTTGTAAAGTTTTGGCTATGAAGCAGAATTTCCCAATACCTGGTTGGGATTCTACCTGTCCTGTTCTTCCTTCATGCTTTTGATCTGTCTGTAATATAAAACATTTGCCAATAATTTGCATTTTCTTAGTGTCATTCATCATCCTGAAGAATATCCCAAATGCATGATTTTTGTGTGTTACTAAAATTGTAAACCAGCAGTCATGATAAAATTTGTTAAATGAAAATAGTGCTTGGGGATATGTTCTACTTAGAACATTAAAACTGCCTAGCAATCTTGATTAACATTCCATTTGTTATAGTGTTTTATGGAATAGTTCCCTGCCTACTATTTCTAGTTCCTAAAAATAATAACACAAAACATAATAAGGTAATGTTTTCTGTAGTTATAGTTTTGATAAATGGTACCTCAGTAATCAAAAGAAAGAAACTCTTGAGTGAAACATGAAGGCATTCTGTTTAAAATCAGTACACTTACAAATATGAGTTACTATAAAAACAATAAGCATAAAACATAAGTTTTATGTGTGATCTTTTCCTATTACTTTGTTGGTCCTCACATCCTTATTTTTTTCTTTGCTGAAACAAGGTCTCACTAGTTGGCTCAGGCTATGTAGCACAAGCTGGCCTTGGATTTGAGATCCTCATATCTCAGTTTCCTGAGGATTGATTATAGGCCTATGCCACCACATCCTGTTATTCTTTTTAAGAACCAGGATATTCATTTATTACTTTGATATATTTTTCAGTTTTCTATCTCAGTTTCTACTTTTATCTTTTCTATTTGTGCTTTCCTTTAGCTTACTTTTTATTTTTTTGGTTCCAGTTGTGGGGCCTGAACTCTGGGCCTGGGGGCTGTCCCTCAGCTCTTCAGCTCAAGGCTAGCGCTCTACCACTTGAGCCACAGTACCACTTCCGGCTTTTTTCTTTTTGCTTATGTGGTACTGAGGAATCGAACCCAGGGCCTTGAGCATGCAAGACAAGCACTCTACCACTGAGCCACCTTCCCAGCCCTAGCTTATTGTTTTATATTCAATATTTATTTATTTTGCTTTTATTTAAATAAGGGCTTAAAATTTCTTCTTTTCACTATCATTCTGGTAGATGGTGTTTGGGTTTTTTTCTAGTGTTACTTTGCAGAAACCAACTTCTGCTTACATTTCCCTTATCTCACAAAAGTTGATCAGTAGATTCTTTAAAATCTTTTAAAAAGTTGATTTATTGTTATTATAAAGATGATTTATAGAGGGATTACAATTACATGAGTCAGGTAATGAGTATACTTCCTTTCTTTTGTACAGTGTCTTCTATTCCCTCACTCTCCCAGTCCCTCCCTTCTGTCTCTACCCATGAGTTGTATTATTCATTTTCTTCCATGTGTAGACTTTTTTTTTAGTCTGTTGTAAGGCTTGGGCACTGTTGCTAAGCCTCTCTGTGGTCAAGGGTAGCATTCTACCACTTGAGCCACAGCAACATCTCCAGATTTTTCTGAGTAGTTTATTGGAGATAAGAGTCTCATAGACTTTCCTGCCCTAGCTGGCTTTGAACCTTGATCCTCAGATCTCAGCCTCCTGAGTATCTAGGATTATAGATGTGAGCCACTGGTACCCAGCCATGAGTAGTTTTTTTTTTTTCTTTCTGGGATTTTTTTTTTTAATGAGTAGATTTTTTTTAAATTTCCAATGAGAAAGGCCCTTTTGGTTTTGAGATTTTTATTTAGAATCATGGTTTAAAGCCAGCCGAGGCAGGAAAGTTCAAGAAGTGGCGCTATGGCTCAAATGGTAGAGCGCTCACCTTGAGCTAGAGAGCTCAGGGACAGTGCCCAGGCTCAGAGTACAAGTCTCACAAAGACTTTTCTGCCCGGGCTAGCTTTGAACTGTGATCCTCAGTTCTCAACCTCCTGAATAGCTAGGATTACAGGCATGAGCCACCAGCACCTAGCTCCCACCCTTCTTTAATTTTTCATTATAATCACTCATGAGTTGGGTGTGTCCCTGCAATTTCTCTTATAATATGATCTGGGGTGGAAGGTCTAGAGGAAGATTGGTATCTTGCTTCTACTTGTTCTTGCTGACTTCTTAATTTTCCTGCTTTCCTTCCCTTTTCCATGAAGTCTTTAGGGGAAGCCACATCTTCTCTCAATAAGTGACTTTTTAGCAAACAGTACTTCTCGGAAGCTGTTATTGTCTTCAAGCCCTTCCTCCATAGTCAGGCTGTGGTCCCACTATTTTGGCTTTGTTGTTTCACTTTCCAGGGGTGAATTTGCATGTACTTGCTACCAGTCTTTGGCTCAGCTATGCCCTTTTCCAGCTTTGTAAGACTTTTTTCTCCTACAGGATTCCTTTGGGGAAAAACATCCCTCTATATCTAGATATTGGTATTGTCTTTAGTGATACTGCAGGTATAGAATACATGTGGTTTTAATTGTTTTCTTTCTCAATTTGATGTTTGTTGGAAGAAAAGCTAGGGGGAGATTTGTAATCAGTCTGTCACCATTGTTTTCCAAATATAGCCATCTTCTCTTGGTTAATCTGAAATTCTACTTAATATGAAATAATTTTTTCAAATTTTATTAATGATTTCTAATTTGCTGATTTTTTATTTTTGCTAAGAAGATATTTTCTTCCACTATTTAACTGTAACTTTGTGAGATACTTAAGAGAATAATAGCCCCAAATTAGAGTGATTATGACCATAATAACTAGGTCACCTTTAAAGCTCCCTTGGCTTTTAAAATGAATAATGTTTACAGTAAGACTGTTTACCTATTTTACACAATAATATTTCTGTATATGAATCTATTTTTTGGAGGAAAAGTTGCTCAATTTGAAATATTACCAAAGTCAGTTCCTATTTTTCTATAAACTTTTCTTGAGTCACCTAGTACTTCTTCATAATGATTGAATCCTTGATCTTTCATAGATAAGAACCAAAAGATCCAAACAGGGAGGCATTCATATTTCAAGATCTCCAAGAAGAGTTAGAAATAGTTAAAATGGAAGCAAAAGCTTGTGAGCCAAATAATGAAGATCTGTTATCAGGTAGTGGTATCACACCCAATGGAGGTATGTACAATTTATTTTAAAAAGTAGAAAAAAATTGAATTAAGCTATTGTCATAATTTTCATCTAGCCTTCTAGGTTTTATTATATTTTGTTTTTAACTGCAGGGCATAGACTATAGTTGTGACTGTCTACTATGTTGTTTGTACTTCTTTTTTTTCTTTTTTCTTGTGCCAGTCCTAGTGCTTGAACTCAGGACTTGGGCACTGTCCCCTGAGCTTCATTTTGCTCAGGGTTAGTGTTTTACCACTTGAGCCACAGCTCCACTTCCAGCTTTTTTTTTATGATTAATTGGAGATAAGAGTCTCACTGACTTTTCTGCCTAAGCTGGCTTTGAACTATGATCCTAAAATCTCAGACTCCTGAGTAGCTAGGATTACAGGTGTGAGCCACCAGTGTCTGGCTAATTCTGCTAATCCTCCTCCTTCCTTCCTCCTTCTCCTGCTCCTCTTCCTCCTCCTCTTTCTTCTTCTTGTCAGTAGTGGGGCTTGAACTCAGGGCCTGGGCGCTGTCCCTGAACTTTTTCACTCAAGGCTACTGCTTTATCACCTTGAGCCACAACTCCACTTCTGGTTTTCTGATGGCTTATTGGAGATGAGTCTCACTGACTTTTCTGCCTGGGCTAGCTTTGAGTAGCTAGAATTACAAGCATGAGCCACCAGTGCCTGGCTAATTCTACTTTCTTTCTTTCTTTCTTTCTTTTTGTTGGTTGTGGGGCTTGAACTCTGGGCCTCGGCACTGTCCCTCAGCTCTTCAGCTCAAGACTAGCACTTTACCACTTGAGCGATAGCGCCACTTCAGCTTTTTCTGCTTAGTGGTGCTGAAGAATCAAACTCAGGGCCTCATGCATGCAAGTCAAGCACTCCACCACTGAGCCACCATCCCAGACCCTAATTCTACTTTCTTAGAGAAGCAATTGCTTAGTGTTTTAAATTAGCATATCTGTTTTTTTTAGCATATATTTACATTACTGTTTTTGGTTTAGAAATTGTGTTGAAGCACTTCAACCATAACACATTCTACCACGTATCCCTAATGCCTCTTCTTCCTCTGCTGTTAGTCTCCTCTCAATCAGACAGCCCATCATCATCCTATAATAGGGTCCTCATGGGAAGCCCATTAGGATCTTTGAGTCACAGCTTCTTGATTTCTCCTCATCTAGCCACCTACCCCCAAACTGTAGGACTTAAGAAATCCAATCTCCCTGCCTTTCAGCCCTGTTACTCATAGAATGAACACAGTCGTATTTTCTCACTATGGCCCATGTCAAAAGACACTTTTTCTTTTATTTTGAACATTTAAGTTGTTTAAATTTACACTGGGAAATGCTGATGCAATAGTGTAGAATAGGGCTTAAGCCCCACTGCTTTTTGTTTCTTTTAAAGCTACCTGCCTGATTCTGATTTACAATAAAGATTGGGAACAATTATTGTAGATTTTATTGTTAATTAGTAAATTAACATTCTTTGTATCTGCATACTCTTTTGTAACATGATTTCAGCTTGCAAATACTCTTCTGCTACTTCCTTCCAGGAAAACCCAAATCCTTATCAGGGTGATTATTTTCTCCAGGTTTGTAGCAGACTGCTGGAAAACTTTTATTAGAGAAAGTAGAGATAAGGATTTCCTACTAATTTGCCCCTAAAGAGTTAACAGTCTCTTATCTCATCAGGGTCCCAATGCAATTAAGAAATACTTCTCATGAACTTAGCCAGATCTCTTTCCAATTTCTTGTAGTGATTCCTTCAAAATTACATTCCATGTGAAATCAAAACTCCTTGTCATGATCAAAAGGCCCTTTATGCTATATTACATTTCAGGTTTGTTTGTTTCTTTAATCACTGCCACTATGTTCCTATCTACCCAGAGTATCCAAGGCTCCTGGCCCAGAATTATGGAATATCTTCTTTTCTCTCCTGTCTTCCATACTGCCTAACTCTTGATCATAGATACTTCAAGGCATCTTCAGATATTCTCTTGTCAGTTTTTCCTTAGTACTTTGTGCTCATATTAGTGCTCCTAAATCTCCTTTCTCTTGCCTGCTTTTCCCATGAGAACTTACACTCCTTCAGGGTTTAATAAAGAAATCAAGGAGCATAATATTTGCAACGAAGTTATTTTATGAGTAAGTTAATTAATCAATTCTTTCCTGTTTAGGTTCTTCAAGCCCATATTTTGTGTCATCTATTCGTGGTACATTAGTTGAAAACACAGCTTCAAGTGGGACTTTGACACAAATTCCTTTTTTCCCTAAATATGAAGTAGAACTTGATTCTCATAGAAAAGTCATCCCTTATCCTGGAAAGGAACACATTGAACGTGTTTTGGAAGAATATTCACATCAAGTCAAAGATTTACAGAGAAGACTAAATGAAGTGAGTTGCTTTCTTTTAGGACCTGACAATGTTTTTGAACAACAGGGAAGCATACTGCCTCAGAGTCAAATTGTAAAGATCCTGGAAGAAAAAAATTAACCATGGATCTATTGATTAAACTTTTAAATTTGAATTATGCCCTCTATTTTAGTAATGAAAATTAATGAAAAGCCTATTTTCCTTCTGCTGATTATAATGTCTTAGTTTCACAATATACTTTTTTTTTTTGTCGGTCGTGGGGCTTGAACTCTGGGCCTGGGCGCTGTCCCTCAGCTCTTCAGCTCAAGGCGAGCGCTCTACCACTTGAGCTACAGCGCCACTTCTGGTTTTCTGGTGGTTTATTGGAGATAGGAGTCTCACAGTCTCTCCTGCCCGGGCTGGCTTTGAACCGCGATCCTCAGATCTCAGCCTCCTGAGTAGCTAGGATTACAGGCGTGAGCCACCAGCGCCCGGCTCACAATATACTTTTAATGAAACTTGAATGATTCAAAATTCATGTCTTCAGGTGTAATTGATTCAGGGCTGCCATCCTGCTGTTATGATACTTGGTTCCTCTCTGCCAACAGTGGTAGAAGATAGAATTTTAGATGTATATGTATATATAAATAGAGTTTAAAGATTTCATATTAATTTCATGTGAACTTTATATAAGATCAAGCTGGCTTTACAGGTGCATATTGTATACTAGTAGTCCACTGAATGTTTTATCACTATACATAAAGCTCTCCAACCTCTCCTGGACATTGTATGTGTCTGTGTGTGTGCATGAGAGAGAGAGAGAGACAGAGAGAGACAGGGAGAGACAGAGAGAGACAGGGAGAGACAGGGAGAGACAGAGAGAGACAGAGATAGCGCATCAGTACTAGAACTTGAACTCAGAGCCTGGTCACTGCCCTTTAGTTTGCTTAAGGTTAGTACTTTGCCACTTGAGCCACACCTCTATTTCCTGGGCTTTCCTGCCCAGGCTGGCTTTGCACCAGATCTCAGCCTCCTAAGTAGCTAGGATTATGGGCATGAGCCACTTATGCCCAGTTTCCCTGACATTTTGCCTTGTCTTGTACCTGTTTTCCATATGTAGTACCCTCTGTTCCAGCAGCATTCAAGCTATTTGTTCACCTCTGGATGTTCCTCACCAATCAAAACCTCCATGTCTTTGCCCAGGCAATTCCTCTTTTCTACCATCAAGATTCAGCCCAAGCATTTCCTTCTCTGAAGCCTTTCCACTAGATAGCATTGAGTGAGTCCTCTGGATAAGTATTGCCATTTGTGCATATGTTGTCACATTTAGTTCTATTTTTTTTTTTCAGTCGTGGGGATTGAACTTATGTCCTGGGCTCTGTCCCTGAGCTCTTTTGCTAAAGGCTAGCTGTCTACCACTTTTAGCCACAGCTCCACTTCTGGTTTTCTGGTGGTTAATTAGAGATAAGAGTCTCATGGACTTTCCTTCCCAGGCTTGGCTTTAACTGTGATCCTCAGATCTTAGCCTCCTAAGTAGCTAGGATTACAGGCATGAACCACCAGTGCCCAGCTAGTACATCTTATTGTACTCACTATCAGATTGTTCTATCTCATCAGACTGTATGAGCACTTTTATTATGTGTTGAAACTTATGTATCACTGTATTATAAACAGAGAATATATAAGAATGAATAGGAGGCTGGGAATGTGGCTTAGTGGTAGAGTGCTTGCCTAGCATACATGAAGCTCTGGGTTTGATTCCTCAGTACCACATAAACAGAAAAAGCTGAAGGTGGTCAGGTCCTGAGTTTAAGCCCCAAGACTGGCAAAAAAAACAAAACAAAACAAAAAACAATGAATAGGAAAGAACTTGTGAGAAGTAAATAGTTTGGAGAGGGGATCTAGTCATATAAAGGAATCTTCTTGGGCTAGGAAGGTGGCTCAGTGGTAGAGCTCTTGCCTTGCATGCATGAGGCCCTGGGTTTGATTCCTCAGCACCATATAAGCAAAAAGAAAAAAGCCAGAAGTGGCACTGTGGCTCAAGTAGTACAGTGCTAGCCTTGAGCTGAAGAGCTGAGGGACAGTGCCCAGGTCCAGAGTTCAGGCCCCACAACTGGACCCCCTCCCCCGCAAAAAAGGAGTCTTCTTCTCCCTCAATACTTTGGTATAGGATCTTTTTCTTTATGGCTGTAGTGTCTCTTTAATTTCTCTGCAAATGCAAACTTTTCAAAGTGTTCTATTCCTTTCATTAAGCTTTTAGAAATGTTTTTCTGTTCCTTTCATTATCTTTGCTACCTCTGTTTTTTTTTTTTTGCTGAGTGTGTTTATTTACTCTTGGTTTCTGTTTTTTGTTTTGTTTTTTAACTTAGAATCTTTTTTTTTCAGTTTTCAGTGGTTTTTGTTTTGTTCAGTTCAAACTTCGGAGTAAAGCAATACAGCTAAGGCAAATATCCCATTACTGGGCAGAACTTGATGGAATTTATTTGGAATAATTAGGTAGAATATCATTTATGTACTAGGAGACCCACACAATGCCTGATTTTAGAAATATTTGTGGGTTTTTCTCTAGTTAAACACACTGATTTTTAGGTGGTAGACTCTTTTGCCAACTATTTTAAGTAAGTTGGAGGTTGGGTTTGACTTAATACATAATTTCAAACAGTTCTCCTGTTATAAGGAACAAAACTCATTTCTGTATTCATTTTGAGCCAGAAACTCAATTTGTTTAGATGTGTTATAGAGAAGGAATGAAAAGAGGCTCAGCTATAAACAGGGAAAGTAGTCACTGTGTTCCAATAACCTAGGTGAGAAATGATTAATTGATTTGAATTACTGTGGAGGAAGGTCCTGAATTCATAACAATAAATTAACATATACCCTTTTGGAAATTATTACCTACAAGGAACTGTATTCCTTTAACAGAGATTAATTTGCTTGTTTGTTTTTCAGAGCAATGAGTTGCATGAGAAACAAAAGTTTTACTTAAGGCAGTCAGTCATTGATTTACAAACAAAACTTCAAGAAATGCAAATGGAAAGAGATGCCATGGCTGACATCAGGTTAGGATTTGTTTTCTGAATTTATTTATTTATTTATTTTTCTGTGCTGGGGGAGGGAGGCGGAGATGGGAAGGGATAGCAAGGGGAAACAAAAGGAGAGGCAACAATGCATGATAAGAAATGTACTCATTATCTTGTCCATGTAATTGTTACTCCTCTATATGGTATTTTCACAATTAAAAAATTATGTCAAAAAAAGCACTCTACAACTGAGATAGATCCCTAGCCCTGAAATTATTTTAAAATTTCACTCTTTGTAGTAAAACTAGTGTCAATGTGAGTTTTGTCAATATTATTTCTCTTCTTTCATAGACGAAGGGAGAGTCAGTCCCAGGAGGATTTAAGAAATCAGCTTCAAAATACAGTTCATGAACTTGAAGCTGCAAAATCCCTTAAGGAAGACATGCTGAAGGACAGTAACACACAGATAGAGCAGCTAAGAAAAATGATGCTTAGTCACGAAGGAGTACTTCAAGAAATCAGATCAGTCCTAGTTGACTTTGAAGAAGCCTCAGGCAAGAAAATACATGAACATGACAGCATGTCTGCTATGCACTTCCGAAGCTTGGGCTCTGCTATTAGTAAAATCCTAAGAGAATTAGACACAGAGATTTCTTATCTTAAAGGGAGGATATTTCCAGTAAGTGGTGAGAACACAACTTCAATTTTATATTAAAATGCATTAAGAGAATAGTATTAGGCATTTTTAAAAAAAAATAAAAGTAAGCCAAGTTCTCAAGTTTGTTCTCTAAGATAACAGGTGTTAACTTTGATAGTTATATCTTCATAAGACATTAGCTTGGTTTATCTGTATAGACCATGAAAGTGTAGCCAAAGTAAATGATCTAATAAAGTATAGAAATAAATTAATCTGATTTCAGTATCATTTCTATTTGGGAAATTAGATTTTTAGACCTTGAGCTCAAACTCCAGGGTTTAACAAGTTAGGTTCTGCCACTGCCTCTATACACCCCAAAAAAAGAGATATGGTAAATAGAAGGTAGGGAAAAGAGATTTATTACATGGCAACACTTCATGAAGACAGCACTTCAGTACATCTTTAGCCAACTTCAGGGAGAATTGGGGCAGGAGGTGAAAAAAATATACACTGTTAAAACAGTCCCAAATTACAAATGTATTCAGAGGTGGCTCAGGTGGCCTGATAGTCCAGTGTCTCAGAATTGCTTAAGTGAAGACTTGTTACAAAGTCAAGCTCTTCCTGAATTCCAAGATGGCTGTAAAGTGACTATAGGAGAGAATGTGACTTAGGACAAAGCACATAGATACAAAATAGAGGAATTTAGGGTACCTAGCCTTTAGCCTGCCTCTCGTTATTCTTGGGCCTGAATAAGTAGGAGTCTATGTTTCTCAGTAAAAGAGCACCTTTTTAAGCCCCTCTTTCTTTTGCATCTCTCTAAAACACTCCTTTTGTTGAAAAATCTCTTGAGTTTTCAAAATTTAGAATTACTAGTACTTAAACTAATGTCTCTCTATTTTTACAAAACAAAAACAAAAACCAGGTAGAGGAGCAACTTGAAACATTGAAATCTGAATCACAGAACAAAATAGAACTACTTCTTCAACAACATCAAGATAGGTAGGTTTCTGACTGATGTATAAAGTATCACAGTAAAACTATAGCATAGTTTTACAATATGTTACCTGTAATTCCAAAATTGAAAACGTTCTGAAACACAAAAAGGTTATATATTTTGTATTTATTTTTTCCATAGGTTTCAGCAAACATGTTGATTTTTTTTCTGGGACTTACTAAAGCTGTAAAAGAAGGCTCAATTCAAGACTATTGCAATAGATATTTCACTATAGGATCAAGAGACTAAGCTCAACTCCCAGTATATAACAAGGATGAATGGGGATTTATACCAACAGGGTGAGAGGATCAGTGGAGGAAAATTATTAAAAGGAGACAGCAGGGATTGGGGATTCCTATTAAAGGCAGGGCAAAGATTTAGCTATCTAGGTTGTAGGGGTAATAATTCTTATCAGATGATCAGATTTCAAAGGCCAATCAGTTGTCTAAGGTAGGAAAATTCTTGCTGAAATTGGGCTAGGCTAAAGTAAGACTAGTGATAAGGTCAAAGCCTAGTTAAAAGAGGGTTTAGAAGAGCCTGACCAAAGTTTGATTAAAAAAAATAAGATTGGATGGGGCTGGGAAGGTGGCTCAGTGGTAGAGTGATTGCCTTGTATGCATGAGGCCCTGGGTTCCATTCCTCAGCACCACATAATCAGAAAAAGCTGGAAGTGGTGCTGTGGCTCAAGTGGTAGAGCTTAAGCCTTGAGCTGAAGAGCTGAGGGACAGCACCCAGGCCGAGTTCAGGCCCCACAACCAACAACAACAACAAAAAGATTGTATGTCACTTAAGCTAATATAAGGCTTTTTAAAAATGATTTTTGTGATTTAATGTACATACAGATTTACCTATTTATAATATGTTTGGTTTATAGATCCTTAGATCCATCCGTAGATTTCACAAGGGATGTTATATAACATAAAGTGCTCATAACCTTTTTTTTTTTTTTTGAGATGGAATCTCCCAATTTTGCCCAACTTGGCCTTGAGCTCCTAGGCTTAAATATTTCTTCTGCCTCAGCCTTTTAAGTAATTGGGTCTATATGAACACTACCATGTTCTGCTCAGTTGTCATCTTTTTTTTTTTTTTTTGTCAGTCGTGGGGCTTGAACTTTGGGCCTGGGTGTTATCCCTCAGCTCTTCTGCTCAAGGTGAGCACTCTACCACTTGAGCCACAGTGCCACTATTAGAGTCTCACGGACTTTCCTGCCTGGGATGGCTTTGAACCCCAATCCTTAGATCTCAGCCTCCTGAATAGCTAGGATTACAGGTGTGAGCCACCAACTCCTGGCCAGTTGTCATATTTTATGACCACTATGAAATGTCAAAAAGTTCAAATTCTCAAAGGATTGTATAAACCTTGAATTGCTCTATAAAGATAGTGTGTAAATGTTTGTGTATTTGCGTGTACATGTATGTGTATGAATATGTGTATTCCAAGCTTGTCACTAAAAGAGTAGTTGGTACAAAAATTTAAATTTGACAGTACTAAAACAAATTTTGAAATAATTCATAGTAATAATTTGGTTATGTCAAATAATAATTATTATATTCTTTCTATAGGATTGAGCAGTTGATAAGTGAACATGAAATTGAAATAACAGGACTTACTGAGAAAGCTAGCAGTGCCCGAAGCCAAGCCAATAGTATCCAAAGCCAACTGGAAATCATTCAGTATGTGTGTCCTGTGGTTTGAAATTGCTACTTATTCGTCTTCATTTGAAAATTGTCACCTTGTATATGTGCTGGTACAGGGACTTCAGCTCAGGGCCTGAATGTTATCTCTTAGATTTTTTGTGCAGTGTTGGAACTCTACCACCTGAGTCACACCTCCATTTCTGTTCTTTTGGTGGCTAATTGTGGCTTCAAACCAAATTCAATTGTTAGATCTCAACCTCTGGAGTATATAGGATTAGAGGCATGAGCCACCAGTGCCTGGCTTTGTCATTTGAATTAGTATTTTTTTTTTGAGATCTTTTAGAAGAAAGCAAAATTTTCAGGTTGAGGTATGGCTCAAATTGTAGAAGTCTTGTCCAGTATGCAGGATATCCTTGGTTCAGCTGATTATACTGCCAAAAAATCCCCAAAACACCCTTTCTGAACAATCAAATGGATAGAAAATATAAGACAAGTATTATCTGGCCACAAACAAAATACTATTTCAAATATTTGGGTCTCTTGGAATTAACTTTCCTAAATATTGTTCATATTGCAACCAATAAAATGAAACAAATTATACATGTTTTATATGTAAATAAACATTAAATATATACAAAAAATTTATATAATTTGAACTAGTATGCTAAGATATAGTATATGGGCATATTCAATCAGATCTAAAAATAGGGAAAATAGTACAATGGCTATATACTTATTACCCAATTTTGTCAAGTAACAGCCTTTATAAGTTAATTTGTTAATAAGTTATTTGGAAGAGAGGGAACTGTGGATTGAGTCCATAGCTTTGCACATGCCAAATTTGTATTCTACCACTGAGCTATGCCTCCATCTCTGAGCTGAAATTTTTAAAGAGCAATTTTGGATCATCAAAGGTAATTGACCTGATAATGCTATATAAATAATTAGTGGCAATATCTAAAAGAGGAGTATCCTTAGCTACTACATTTATTCTTAGTTTGCTATTTTCTTTTATTCTGCTTCTGAACCCTACTTAGAGAACAAGCAAGAAATCAAAACTCCATGTATATGCGCCAGCTCAGTGAACTGGAATCTACTGTTTCTCAGCTGCGTTCTGAACTGAGAGAAGCCAAAAGGATGTATGAAGACAAGGTACGTGTAGATTTTGCATCTCTACTTCTACACAGTATTACATGCTGAATCAACAATAGATTTTATAGCTCTTTAGCTCAAGGCTAGCGCTCTACCACTTGAGCCACAATGCCACTTCTAACTTTTTCTGCTTATGTGGTGCTGAGGAATTGAGCCCAGGGCCTCATGCATGCAAGGCAAGCATTCTACCACTGAGCCATCTTCTCAGCCCTTAATATATATTTTTATGTAAAGATACTGTACTAAGGGGTTACAGTTACATGAGTAAGGTAATGAGTACATTTCCTCTCGAGCATTGTTACCCTCTTGTTTTTCCCCATCATCCCTTACCTCCCCACCTCCCCAACTTTTCCCTCCCCTGCTGAAGCTGTAAAGTTTGTTTTCAACATAGTGTCTTGTACATCTCATTGTTACAATGGGTGAAAATAATAGAATTTTTACTAGCTTATCTGAAATGAAGACTCAAAATAATCTTCTGTATTCAAATCTGCATATAAACTGAAGTAAGAATATACTAAATTATATTAAATTATATATATATATAAATTATAAACACTTGTTATTTATATGTTATATATATATATATGTTGTTTGTATCTATTCTCTAGAATATATTTTTACATACTTCAAGTCAGTTTCAAAGAAAGTAAGTCAGGGGCTATAAGTATACAGTATACTTAGCATGTCTGAAGTTGGAGGTTTAGAACCCAGTACCACAATAAATAAATATTTTAAATAGGACCATCTTAATTATTTTTATAATGCTGGGCCTTAGCATATGCTTTAGTACCACCTGGCTTATCTATACCACTCTGTTTTGGGAGTTTACCTCTCTCCCACTCCAAATTATTAATCATTGTGTGGCTAGCAAACTGAATTTTAAGCTGAATTAAATTGACTAAGAAAATATTTTACACTGTGGTTTTATCTTTAATCACCTAATTCTCTTAAAATCAGATGCTAATACTTGAAACTATATTCTTTTAACATACTATATTCTTTTCTTGATACCATTATCAACCATTTCTCCAGTGTTTAGGTTTCTGCTAATTTCTGCCACTTGTAAAACAGTAAAATTTCCTTTATAATACAAAAACAAAAACAATCAAAGATCTACCATTTTTCTTGTTCTTCATTCCTTATGAGAATGACTGCATTGATGGTTATCTGAGATGGTCTTAGTTTAAGACTGCTAACCCAATGTTCTATTTCATAAATGTTATTTTTCATCTACAGAATATGCCAGATTGGAAGATAAATGCATCTTTAGTTTACCTACCTGTAAGAGACCTTCAGATAGTCTTGCAGAAATAACTTAGACGTAGTTCTATCACATTTAGTCAGTTTCTTACACCTTAGTTATTTGCAGTGGTAAGTTAGGAGAAATAAAATGTAAGGAAGCTACCAATCATCCCCTTTATAAAGTGAAAATAATTCTGTGGGTAATAATTCTGTGATGCAACAGTAAAAAAAATTCCATATAGGGAGAATTGATTATTCCAGTACTAATTCTTTTAGACATTTACCCTACTTTGGGCAACTCATTTTAATTTCCACTGTCACTCAGTGCTGTCTTATGTGCTGGCCACATGAAGGTGCTCTTTTCCCTTGGTTCAAACATGGAAATTAGGTATTAACTCCTATAGCAAGTTCAAGATGGAAAACTTAAATGTGATTTTACTGAAGTCTAAGCCATGAAGCATAACACAAAACTGTATAGTCTCAGGAATAGATCTGAATCCTCTATAGCAATGTTTTCAAATTTTGTTTTTATATAGCATAGTGTGGTTTCATCTCAGGCTTTCATGTTTGCTAGAACTATAACCCAACTCCTTTTTGCTTTAATTACTTTTTGGGTAGGATCATATGATGTTTTTACCCAGGGTGAATCTCCTACCTTTGATTTCCTATGTAGCTGCAATTATGTATACACACAAGTACATCTAGCTATATGTTGAGATGGGGGTTTCTCTTAGCTTTTTGCTAAAAAGCAAATTTTTCCACTTAATTTCTTTTTCATATACCTTGACTTCACATCGATAAAATCTATTAAAGCCTTAAAATCTATTTTGTTTTTCACTGCTCCAGTGCACAGCATATGCTTTCCAAAATAATAAAGAAAATAATACATAAAAGCCATGATTAAAAGTAAAGTTTGTGTGAAAGAGAAACATAAAAGGTGTGTCAACACTACATATATTATCAACATAGTTTATCTGGATCAGTATTAGTCTTTTCTCCAGAGGTCATGTCCCTTCATTTAAGAATTAAATTTGAGAAGATGGGTGAGGACAGGATAGATTCAGAGGGAAGCAAATGGTGGAAGGAATGACTCTGATCAAGATGCATATACACATAAATTGAAGTGTCAAAATGAAACCTCTTTCTACAACTATTTGGAGAAAATATTTTTTAAGTGCTTAAATAGTGTGTCAGTGACTCATATCTCTAACAGGTAGCTCCAGTTAATCAGCAATAAAATGCTGGACTGGAGGTATGGCTAAAGTGTTAAGGGTAAAACAGCAGAACAAGAGCAAGAGGCCCTGAGTTCAAGCCTCATTACTTGCGCAAAATAAAGTGTTTATTAGCCAGTTGTTGCTATGCAAAATTTATAATCCTCGCTACTTGGAGAAACTAATGCAGATTCCAGGCAAGCCTGAGCAGAAACATTTGAGGGAGTCCATCTCTGTAAAAGAAGCTAGATAAGGTGATGCATGCCTGTCATCCCAGATACTATGGGAAACCCAGATAGGCAGATTGAAATCTAGGCATGGGGCTGACCAAAAAGCAAGATATTATTTTTTTTTAAAAAAGCAGTGAAGGGCTGGGAAGGTGGCTCAGTGGTAGAGCACTTGCCTTACATGCATGAGGCCCTGGGTTCGATTCCTCAGCACCACATAAGCAAAAAGAAAAAAAAAAAGCCGGAAGTGGCGCTGTGGCTCAAGTGGTAGAGCACTAGTCTTGAGCTGGAGAGCTGAGGGACAGCGCCCAGGCCCAGAGTTCTGGCCCCACAACCGGACCCCCCCCCAAAAAAAAGCAGTTAAAAAAAGGGCTGGAGTTGTGGCTTAGTACATAGCAAGTATGAGCTCCCTAAGTACTATCACAAAAATTATTATTTTTTAATTGATGACAGGTCTGAACAGAATTTTTTTAAACTAGAATGAATAAACCAAGAGAAAACTCATTTAGGAGGGTAATATTTGTTCTCAACAAAAATATTTTCATATTGGTGAAAGAAATTGTGTTTCCAAGAAAATTTTAGATGTGAATTTTTGTAGCTGACAAAAGTGTTTTACTGTAATGTTGTTTTCTGTTCTTTTCTTTCTGTTTTAGGAGAACCTCCAGAATTCCCCTTTATGAATTTGGACAAGTAGAAGTTGTCATTATTGGTTCTGTAGATTTGGCTTTTACTCTTAACTTTCACTTTTTGACAACAAAAAAAATTCAGTGATTCTAAGTTTATTTCTCCTACTTTGAAAGTATCTGGGGTTGAATTCCATACTCTAAAAGTGAAGATTTAGTAGCACTGGCTGGAGCTGTGTACTGTGCAGGGAAGATGCTGTGCAAATGCCTCACATAGGTGCCACTGCACCTTCATGCTAATCTACAGCATCCCTTGTTATGCCATGTCTCTGTCATTTTGAGCACAGAAAAAACCCCCAAACCTCAGAGCAGAAACACCATCGTAAAAAAAACAACAGCAAAAACAATCCAAATTATTTGATATGATTGGTTGATATTACTAAAAGCATTATTTAATTGGAATGAGACCCCAGTACTCATTTGTGAAGTGGTACAAACCAAGAAGTGGATTCATAGATGGTGAAAGGGAAAACTGGTGCTGCTATAGAGAAAGAAAAGAAAAAGAAAACACCTTTACTGTATTTCAGATGTCAGTATTCTTTCTGGACATTTTTAAAGGCTTTTCTTTGTAATATATATATTTTTTACAGCTGTATCAGCTCAGCTGCTACTTCAATGGTTTTCTCTTTTACTCCATTTATCTTTTTGATTGATTAATTCATATGAATATTTTTACTCTTAAAAAGTGAGAGGTAAAAGAGCTATAGCAGTTGAGTCAGTATTGACAGCTATAAAACTAAGGATCTGGAGGAACTTCTGGTAATTAATAAACAGAAAGAAAAGATGTAACTGGTTTGCCTGCTTCCTTTCCTCCCTTTTTCCTTTCCCCATCCTCTTCCCCTTACCTTTCCTTGCCCCTCCCTCTTTTGCTCTCATAGATTTTACCTTTCAAGATGAAATGGTCATCCAGAATTTTTTTAAAAATGAAAACATATCTAAAACAAGTTTTAAATATTTTATTAGGTAAGGCAAATTTTACTTCTGCAGATGGGTGCACAACTGATAAGATCAGCAAACACACCAAGCAAGCAATCCACCCAGGTTTTATTCCTATCATATTGCTGCCCTCATTCTGATTGAAGAAGCATGGTATCAGAACTTAAGTTCACAGTCTTATATAGTTGAGTAGTTTGAAATGATATTAAGAGTTTACCCAAGCAGCCAGCCACAGATGGCAAACCCCTGTAACCCTAGCTACTCATGAGGCTAAGATCTGAGGATCATGGTTCAAAGCAAGCCTGGACAGGAAAGTCCATGTGACTCTTATCTCCAGTTCAATACCACAAAAGCCAGAAGCAGAGCTGTGGCTCAAGTGGGAGAGCACTAGCCTGGAGCATGAAAAGCTCAAGGACAGCACCCAGGCCCTGAGTTTAGCCCAGGACACACAAAAAAGAGTTTACCTAAGCAATACTTGAGCAAAATAAAACACTAGAGCAAGGCAAGAACCAGTTAGAAAAACAACCCTGTGTTCATAACAAGATCTAGTTAAATTGAAATGACTTTCCATTTTAACAAGATTTCATAAAATTGACCCAAAGAACACATAGAAAAATTTTCCAAGAACCTTAGGTTGCCTAACAGTTTAGGAGATGACAGTTGCCCCCAAAATGTCAAACAACCACTTGATAGAAAAGATT